CAATTGCTGAAAGCGCTGGCGTACGCTCACAACACTAAATCGATATCCATACTTTCCTAGCTGCTCAAAACGCTGACGCAAATTATGAACGCAGCCTTACTTGTGCAGTTCAGCATGACCTTAACAAATGAACATTCATAATTCCCGTACCTTTTTCAGCTCCAAGCGATTAGCCCTCCAACTGTTGATTCTCGTAGGCATGAATTACGGAAATGCCTCAGATTCTCCTCAGGAAAAATCTGTTTTAGCTCGTCTGTTGCAAATGAGAATGCTCAAGAACAAAAATGTTGGTTTTCTTCCAATTTGTATATTATAATGTGCAGAGTTTTATATGGTTTGGGGGTTGCCTTCAGGTAACCGCTGTGTTTACCGTTTCTCTACGGGAGATGTTGGTCCGCAAAAACGACTGTAATATGCGTACGGCTATTCGAATTCTTCTCGAAAATGAGTTTGGTCATGTCATGTCGAGGTTTGTTCATTTTTCTCATATGCGGTATAATCTCGAAAAAGTAATCAGACTTATCGAACTAACCCATATAGAACCCTATGCAGGCCGAGGTGTACATAAGGCGATGAAAGGGCGTGATCAGGCGAGTTTCACTTGTTGTTGGTATCAGCTCTTTCCCTTATCACCACACTCACCAGTCGGAGAGGGAAAGCTAGCAGCGCACAGCCACACCACTAGGATCTTTAGAAATGAAAGTTGGGTGTTGCGTTGCGCAAAGGGCCGGGCGTCGCCTTGTTTGCGAACAGCTCATGCTCTTACCACCGATTTTATGCTGTGAGAGGCACATCCTCCATGCTCGCAGACAGGACTACCTTGTCCAAAGAAGGCGTCTGAACATCAAATCTATATAGAGCGTGTCTTTAATAAGAGTGGCTCCTGAGAAGGTAATGCAAGTGGCTTTCGCTGCTCCTATGCTAAATTTGTTGTTCATATAATAAGTGAATTTCGAGTGAAATACTTTTTTCAGACATCCTCACAACGTTTCTATACTCATCAGCATGTTTGGATTCGATCGAACGAAAGCGGCCGAAGTGAGTTTTCTGATTCCAGTTTAGATTTGTAGAGCAGATATGAACTATTTGATTTGGTTGTCCCATAGTTTTTGTGCAATTATCAGGCGCAGGCAGTTTGCCGGGGGGGGGCATTTCTGCATTTTCGTTGCTTCACTAGTTCTGGTTTACAAGTCTCACTCTGGTGAAACCTGTGAACTCTTGTGAAGCTGGAGCAAGCTCGTCAAGCCTCATGTAAAACTGTCAACTCGGGAATAGGCCGTCTGATGGGTCAGCCGACGTCCGATGCGAAGTTGTTGAAGTGCAAAATGCTCTCGCCCTCGCCAAAACAGCCCCCATTCCCTAATTTGTTTTTTGTTTTCCCCCCCCCCCCCCCCCTCCAGCTTCACCACTGCATCAACAAGATTGCACACTGTTGTAACCATAATTTTACCTGCTCATCGAAATCGTACATTTCTAGGTTCTTGGCGAAGAGATTTCCGAGATGATCATGGCACGTGAGGAGTACTGTAAACCGGTGCGGCTGCTCCTTCGTGAAGTCATTCGGTTCTTCCATCGCAACGAATTCCCATTCTACACGCTAGCAAATAGCTACCTTTCTACCATAGTGGACGAAGTAGCAAAGAGCGAACATGGAATACAAGTACGTGAATCTTTGATGTTTTTCTACAATATCTGATAAACGCACCTTGATTATCACAAGAATGCTGAGTTGTGGGCAAAAGTCGGACCACGGGCGGGACTCGAACCCGCATCTTCTGCTTACCGGGCAGTTGCGTTACCACTTACGCTACCGGGGCCACTTTTGACCTCTCAGCTCAATGGCTATTTGTGCCATTGCCTTCGAGCACTCACACGTTCAATCGGCAGCGCCACCGCAAGGCTGAAGCTGTTTACAAGTTTTAGACTGTTTTGGTTTGATAACTGCGTTTTACCATCAGGGCATTCTTGTGATAACTTTCGTATCGCGTAACTGCGGCGTTAACACGACGTTCTGACGACATGCGCGTTTTTACTTTTTGGCCGCGTGGGACACGCGCGTTTTCTCGAACGCAACCAGCGCGGTACACACATAGTTCAGACGATCCCACGAGGCGCTTTTTTGGAAATTGGATCGGAAAACTGGATTAGAGCGCAGTTATGAAGTAAGTTAATACTTCAGTATAGAAAAAACCTGGCTGGCTAACTCTCGTTGCACTAGATGCCAGAAATTCGTCCGCAACCAATGTTTTCATAAAAAAAAGGTGTCGTGCCCTCTATAGCGTTCAGAATCCTTCACCCTATAATTTTTACCATTATCAACATTGTATCGATCAGCATTTCTCAGCTAAGTGTTGGAGAGCAAACCATTCCAGTGTTGAAGAGCAAATCAGTCCGAGCAAATGGTGATCTTTACCCAAAAAGTATTTGCTAAACTAGTGTGTACTGAATTATTCCATGGACTACGCATAGTACGAGTACACCAGGGTCTGAACTATACAATGATTAAGAGAAACTAACTAAAAAACCATGCACTGTTGAAAGATATGGATTTGTTGATCGTGAGTTGTATAGTATGCACGCTGTCCCACATGGCCTACAACGCGTGCATTCAATGTGTCTCACGCTGTCGTCAATGTGTTAACAGCATTT